AAGAACGAAAGAAACGATTCGCACTCTCGTTGCGGGAAAGTCTGTTTTTAATACCAGGAAACTCGCGTTTTCGGTTTCGCCCTCGCTGGCGAAACTCCTCACACGCGCACTCTCACACACGCTTTTCAGGCAGGCGGAGGCACCGCTATCGCAGCCCCGACTCGGCTCGTATCGACACTCTGGTAAAACTCGGGGAAACGTCAAAAGTCTTAATAGCACAGCTCTGCGATCGGGTTCTAACTCTCGACTTTTGGCTCGTGTATCGGTAGCTGATTCTGCACGTTCGGCTAAGCATGTCGATGGCTGATCCTTCACTTACGGCTCTCCGTATCGGTAGTTAATCCTGCACTGGTTCGTTTTCAATAGCGCGCGTTCCGCCTCGTCGCGTGCCAAATTCCCTCGTCACATTTTTCGTATACCGGTAAGGGCTGCCCCCGCAGGCAGCCACTAGGTTAGGCTATTAGCGCTAATTCGACGTTTACCATCACAGTATAATAGTTTGTACGAAAAATCTTGTAAATAAATTTATGATTGTTATTTACAAGATAAAAACCTTATCGTTGTCAACCATTAATACTTCTAAAAATCACGAAAAATAAACATCAATTTCATGTATTACTGTCAGTAAGAGCACCATAAGTTGTGAATCTTACCCGTATCGTGACTCCATATCTGATGATGGATGAAGTGGCTTCATTTAAATGCGTATGTTAATTAACTAATAGGATTGATACTGACTGAAAAATTGATACTAACTAAAATATTACTACAGTAGGTATGGACAAAAATAAAAACGGAGTGATCAACCTGAATTTTCTGGAAAATCCACATGGGTCGAACAAGAAATTTACCTGGATTTACTTGAAAATCAATACGTGTTGACCAAGAACTCCACTTAGATTTACTCGAAAATCCATATAGAATCCACACGTATCCACATGTAAATCCAACTAGAAATTCAGCTGGATTGTACCTCAAATTCACCTGGATTTTGCTTAAAATCCACCTGGATTTCTCATAGAATCCACCTAGATTGACCGGCGATCCACCTAGATTTTGTTTGAAATCCACTTGGATTTCTCATATAATCCACCTAAATTTTGCATTGTAAATCCAACTGGGAATCCAGATAAATTGACGGCTAAATCTACCTGGATTGAGGGGAAAGTCGAGATGGATTTCCCGAAAATCCATATGGATTTAACGTGGAAACCTACTTAGATTTTTTGAAAATACTTATGAAATCCACACATATTCACATAGAAATCCAACTAGAAATCCAGGCTAAATTTCCAGCTGGAATTTTGCAATAGAAACTCGTTGATTATACCTCTGCCATCGCCTCATAAACAGTTAAAACAACTCTCTTTCTCCCTGTTTACACTATACTTTTTCTTATGGCACCTCCAGGAAACTACGGTAGCGTGAGATAACGATACACATGCTTGAGCGCAAAACTAACAAGGAAGGTCCCCAACTCGAACTCACCGATTTTAATAATTCTTGTATAGATTGTAGTACATTAAAAAAGCAAGAGATTGGTATTTTTCTATCGGCGGAAAAACATATTTAAGGGGTGACATCTACCCTCAAAGTTCAATCCAAAAAACAATTTTTTAAATAACTTTTCTTCTAGTTAATATTAATTAGTAAAACAAAGTGGGTAATAATCCTTATGAAAAGTCAAACAAATTCTGGTGTGTTTGACTTTTGGGGGTTGCAACAGCTATTTTTAATACACGAAAAATCAAAAATTGACATCATTTTCTGCAGTAAAAACTTTTAAAAGAGTGTAATTATAACCAAATTTTTATATTTATAAAGAAAATAGAAAAAATAAATTTATGTTTTCCAGCATTTTCAATAAAAAATATTTTTAGAGGACCACCCCTATTAATGAAAATTAGAATTTTCGATATTAAAATTATTTTAAAGCGAATGTTTCATTTTTACTGCTTTATAAATATTATTATAATAAAAATATTCTAAAAACACATTTAAAAGCTAAAATATATCCTCAATAGTTTTTAGTAAAACAAAGTGGGTAATATTCCTTATCGAAAGTGTAACAAATTCTGTTGGCATTGACTTTTGGGGGTTGCAACCCCTATTTTTAATAGGTGAGAAATGACAGGAATTTCCGTAGTGGACAAATAGTTTAGTTTTGAGCAGATGTTTATGTTTTGAAAGAAAATAGTGGTAAACAGTTTCTTTGTTTTTAATTAAATTATAGGCATTGCAACTCCTGTTTCTAATGAAAATAAACTGGAAAAATTTATATGAATTCCTATTATAACCCTTCATGGTGAAAGATCTTATTTTTATACAGAATTGATGAAAAGAGAAAATTATAATTAATCTATATTATCTTACATGATTCTACTTTTAACTCATTTGTGTTTGTACCAATTTTTTGATAGAGTGCTGCACACTTACTAATATAAACTTTTATAAAATTTAATACAATTGAGAAGGAACGATTTTTTAACATTTTTTATTTGTTAAAGTCGGAACAGTAATGATAATCATCAAAAAATGTTTTAATTATAGGCACTTTTTACACTAGCCACAACGTATAATTGCAGTATTTTGGCTGCCTTCGATTTCGCATTTTGAACTACAAGAATCCCCGAAACTGAAATCAACCAGATTATCAAATTTTCCGGTTTTTCTTAGATATCCACTTTTAAACCAAGAATATTTAAAAAGATTTAAATATCGTGGTGACGAAAATTGGTTATGAACCAATGACTGAAGCCTAAAAATATTATTTCTCGAATGTAAATTCATATTGTAATCCATTAAAATAACGTTATCTGAAAAACATCAAAAAAAGTTTTTCTACACACGAATCCGTATATATCGAATGGTTGGATTTTTCCTGTAGTTCCAGTTGGAATTTTCATAACATTAATGATTTTATTTTCTGGTCTAGTTTTTTCAATTACTTTTTCGTAGTAACCACTCCAAGAATCTAACAGCAATATACTGGTAGGACCAACATTTGGATGAAAAATATTCTTCAACCAAATTTTAAAAAGATCTGCAATAAAAGAATTGGTTCAACATTCTTTCTACCAGCATTCTGTTATTTTTAAATTATATTTAATTATTACTTACCTGAAGTTAATTTTCCACATTTAGGTATTTCTACGTATACATATTGAGGTTTGAACAATTTTGATTCTATAATTGGTCCAAATTGGCCAGATTGTTCCTTTAAAACTAAAAAGAGAGGTGACAAAAGTTTTCCTTCATCCGATATTAGGGGTCGTATACGACGGTGGTCGGATAAGTACTTAGCCTACAAAAGAAAAACGAAAATTTTGGAAAAGTGGCGTTTTATTTTTCAATATAGTCTCCTTTTAGTTCGATACACTTGGCCCAGCGATGCTCCAACTTCTTAAACCCGTCTGAAAAATACGTTTCTTCGAGGTCTGAAAAGTAGGCTTCCGTGTCAGCGATTACCTCCTCATTCGACTCAAATTTCTGCCCGGCGAGTGACTTTTAAAGTTTGGAAACAAAAAGAAGTCGCACGGGACTAAATCTGGAGAATACGGTGGATGGGGCAGCAGTTCGTAGCCTAATTCGACCAATTTGGCCATGGCGACGGCGGAGGTGTAAGCCGGTGCGTCGTCATGGTGGAAGAGCACTTTTTTCTTCGCCAAATGAGGCCGTTTTTTCTGCAATTCGACGTCGAATCGGCCCCATAATTCGGCATAGTACAGCCCTGTGACCGTTTTGCCCCTCTCCAGGTAGTCGATGTAGATCACACCTTGTGAATCCCAGAAAACGGTGTCCATCACCTTTCCGGCCGATGGGGCAGTCTTCGCCTTCTTCGGAGCACTTTCGCCGGGTAAAGTCCACTGTTTCAACTGTTCCTTGGTCTCTGGTGTATACCAGTGGATCCATGTTTCGTCGACTGTTACAAAACGACGCAGAAACTCCTTCGGATTGCGCTTAAACAGCGTCAGACATTGCTCTGAAGTTGTCTCACGGTTGCGCTTGTTGTCCGAAGTGAGCAAACGCGGCACCCATCGCGCCGACAGCTTTTTCATGCCCAAAATTTCATGCAGGACATGACCCACGCGGTCTTTTGAGATGCCTACGATCTTAGCTATCTCGCGCACCTTCAATCGTCGATCTGCCAATACGAGATCGTGAAGTTTTGTCACGTTATCCTCCGTGGTAGCCGTTTTCGGAGCACCTGGACGTGGCTCTTCAAAAATCGACGTGCGACCACGTTGGAACTCGTTAAACCAATTTTTGACGGTCGCCATCGAAGGAGAAGAGTCACCGAACACAGCATCCAAGCGCTTTTTGATTACACTGCGCAATTTCCCTTCCAAAACAAGAATCCAATCACCAACCCATACTGCTCTTTTTCCATTTTTCAAAAATCAACGGACACACTTGCTTTAACACGCTCTCAAAAATAAACTACAACTCCGATCCGGCTGAAATCTTGACAGTAACCATCGAGAAGGTTGTACTACGTGATAGAATATTTCTTTTGCGAGAGTGGCGCCATCGGACGGTGAGGCTAAGTACTTATCGGACCACCCTCGTAGTATAGCTGTGTGTCGTTTATAATACCGATTGTACTAGACATTGAATCTGACTTTCGCCTTCCACCGCAAGTGTCCTTCCGGAGTGGATTTCCAATATGGGCTATTCTGTCTTGTGAGGGCGCTGACAAGCACATAGGGTACAAATGCGGCAAATACAAACCAATTAAGTTTAATGCCTTATATAATGATTAAAATCTCGCTAAAAATTAATTTTGCTATTTGCAAATTGTGATCAAATTTTTTTACTGATATTTAAATTGTAAAAGTTCAAGTTGTATTAAAAAAATTTAATTTCAAAGTATAATATTTTATCGTATCGATTGAACCTACAAAATAGAGCAACCAGTCGATGAACTTGAAAGACAGTTACAAAGAGTCAACAAGATGTACAGCTGTTTTTTCATGTGATTACAATAGTAATTATGGAAAATGAAAGGTGTTTGTTGTGTTCCCAATTGCAAAAATGACATTTCTACAAGTGGACATGTATTTCCTAAAGATACAACCATTCGGAGTCTTTGGTTGAAAAAAATAAAACGCTCAAACTGGACACCAGGAAAATGGAGCAAAATTTGTCATCATCACTTGAAACCAACTGATTTTCTTGTATTTAATAAGGCTGGTAAGATAATTTTTTCAAGTTTATCAATAAAATGCCACACAGTACAAAATATCAAACTAATTTCATGTAATTCACAGGTTGGAAAAATGTAAGAAAGTTGCTGAAACAGGGTGCTGTAACTTCAATGTTTCCATGGAACTGGAATAAAATTATCAACAATAAATTGAAGAAAACTAAAGACAAGAAAATAGAAAGAGAAAGAAGTATAAAACTATTGATTGAAAGTATTTTAGTGGATACCATAGCAGAAGAATCTATTAGGAAATTGATTTAGCGTGTCTTGGAGAAGATCAATGATGAGAGCACTGTTCTGAATAGCATGGATAATACTTTCGGTCATAGTGGCTCATTCTGTGAGAACAATATGTGTATAGCAGGTGAATCTCAAGTATTTGAAAGTAAAATAGATTTGTTAAATATTATTGAAGAAGTAGAAATTGTGACTAGTGAAACTGAATTCAGTAATACAGAAACTCTGGAAGAAAGAAACATTTTAACGAAACAAGTTGATATGAACTTTGATACTGGTATCAAAACACAGCATCCATTTAATGTGCGCATGGAAAATTTTAAAGATAATAAAAAAGCTATTAACTTCTATACAGATTTGGAAAACTACGACAAGTTCATGTTTGTTTATCGAACATTAGGTATAGCTGTGAATGAACTCAATTACATTTATTATACCAAGCCTAAAATGAGTGTAGTGGATCAGTTTTTATTAACGCTTATGATTTTAAAACAGAATAAAACATACTATGAGGTTGGCTTATTTTTCAATGTATGTGTGAAACAAGTTGCTAATATTTTTATAACCTGGATCAAGTTTATGAGTCTGCAATGGTCTGAGGTATCGCAGTGGCCATCAAGAGAATTGGTAGACTTTTTTACACCCCATGATTTTCGCAAGAAATTTCGCTTCACAAAAGGAATCGTTGATGGCACTGAAATTCAGATTCAAAAACCTAACGTACCAACTACACAGCAATGTACTTTCTCAACATACAAAAATAAACCTACGGCTAAGACAATAATTTGTGCATCACCAGGAGGATTATAACCACCCACATCTTATCTGTATATATATCTCTTATCTTGTATCAATCAGCAGGGACTGGGAATCGAACCCGGGCTGAACGTATCATTGGTTTAGGTAAAACATATAAAATATTAGAAGGACCTTTAATTGCTTCACATGCAAAATTAGCTGACGATATCATATTTGTATGTTTTATGTTATGTAACTTTAGAAAGGCTATAATCTCTGAAAATGCTTAAATATCTCTATGTTTTATAGACTTTGATAAAATTTAAAGATTTTTTTCTACATTAACAAATCTATACTCTTATTTTGCACTGTGTGCACGTAAAACAATCATGTAAAACAAGTTAGAATAAATATTTTCTATATAAATACTTATTCAACACTGCTTGTCGAAAGTGACTTTCATAAAATTTTACCAAACTTTTAACCATCTTATCAATGGATGCTTCATCTCTCCTTATTGTCAATAATAAAATATCTTTAATAGTATTGACTATGAATACACACATTTGCATCTCAGCGCAGTATAATTGGCCTTGAACTTGATAATAATAATTGTGATCCTCTTTAAGCTTGTAATAACCTTCTCTGTCACGTAGATATAGGTAATCTACATTTTGTGGTGAAATAAATTGATCTTTCGCACTAAAAGGACACTTGACCTCAATGCAAACACTGTCATTCAAAATACCATCAGGCGAAGTTGCTAAAAAGGGATATTTCAATGATACAAATGTCCCACATTCTACAACTTTTCTTTTCATAACTTCTTCAAACTTCTTTATAGCGTGCACTTCATATTTTTTACCATATTGTATAGCTGGCAAATGTGATAAGTCAATCGGTTTCATCAACCTACGTACAAGCTTATCATAATCATGACTTTTACAAAGTTCTCCAAATAATTAATCCAACATCTCTTTCTACAAACCAGCATTTGTTTTTAGACTAACCACGAGTCAAAGATTCAATTTCTAATCTCTTAGCCTGCGACACATCCATTAAATTCATATGTTTTAAAAAACTAATAACTTTATGTTCTTTACATATTCATGATCATTGTAGACAGCAAATATATTTGCAGGTTCAAATAATTGCAATTCTGGAAAAGATTCACCTATAATTGCAGCAAAATTTATGCATTGGTTTCTGAATTTGGCATTGTAATTATCTATTTTTCTATATTTAGTAGGTCTTGGGTCAAAGTCTTTTAATCTACTTTCCAACTTATTCATTTTATTGAATAGCAGATCTTTGATTTTAACTGGTGACCCATTGTATTTTTTTTTTTAACTTGATGAAACTTTTGCAGTTGTTCCGTACAAGTAGCTCTTATTTTGTATTCTTTGTTTTTCACAAAATCTTTCATCGCTTCTAACACTACAGAAACATGCTTACAATGAGCCGATGGACCTTTTCCAGCTGCACACTCACACTGTGTGTTAGAGATGCATTTATATGATTTTACTTTAACATCAACAGTATAAATAACTGATTTTCTATATTCTGAAGCGACTCTGGCGCATAAAAATTCTTCACCATCTTCATTGGAAGCTTTTCGCAAGCTCAATAGATAATTATCGTTGTACATTTTTATGCCTTTATCATTGATAGCAGATGCTTGTACTGACTCAAAATATTCACTATCAAAGTTCATATCAATATTCAAAATGTGCGATGCGTTTAAATCTTTGTATATTTTTGAGTCAGGCTTAATTAATATGTAGCTTTTATCTTCATCTTCTGGTTCAACTCTAATGGATATTTTATCGTAATCGATAAGCCTGAAAATGTATAAAAAATTGAAAAATTGCCCTTTGTTAAAAACCGGGGCTTATAACCTTTGAACTAAATCAGCCTTTTTCCCCGTCGTTTTGGCTTTCCTCAGTTTCAGTTCCTGTATCAATTGTTTAATGGTCCATTGGCCGTAATCAGTACTTTTACTCATATTGCCATTCATTATTGAGAATTAAATAAACTAAACATGCTTCGACGTGCATATATGTATAAACCGATTCATACTTCGCGGAATCGTACCCCATGTGCTTGTCAGCGCCCTCATGCGACAGAATAGCCCTAATTGGAATCCACTTTGATCTGTATTATATTTATTTTGAATTCCAATTTCTGGAATAGCTTTCTTCACATTAGTAACAAATGTAAGAGCTTATTTCTCTAGTTCTGCACTACTTTCGAAAGTTTTTCGGGTAACGAATTTGTTAATTTTTCTTTATACAATTCTGTGACAAAATTTAAATCTTGATAACCAGTGTTTTGAAGCTTTAAACCTAAAATTTTCAAACTCTAGATCTTTTTTGCGAGTAATGCCCAACGACGCAAATCTTGATCATGCACAATAAAATCAGCGTCAACAGCAGATTAAAATTTTGTAATACATAATCACAAATTCGGGCAATTTTTTCTCTGTATGTTAACTGAGTTAGCCCAACGCCGAAGTTGACTGATAGAAGATACCTTTTTGAATTTACTTTTCACACTCTCAAATTTTTTCTTTTCCCACTTCGCTAATAATTCACTACTTTGATTTGTTGGAAATTCTACACGAGGAGGAAAATGATGCATTATATCGTCCTCGATAATTTGTTCCAGGATTCTTGTATTCCTCCTGGAAATTTAACGTTTCTTCTGAAATTATTTTTACATCGCGAAATTCGTCCATCGAATCTATTAAAATATTTTTTATGTTTTCCGCTAACTCATTTTCTTGATGGTAAGTAGTTGGGGTATTAATCGGTAAATCCAATATTTGAAAGTATGCCAGCAATAAATTGATTACGTTTAAAGGATTGAGTTTCATCGTGAATACTGCAATTGCATTAATTAATTTTGTGAATAGACTGCTTTAATGAAATGAAAAATAAACATTCAAAATTTCTTACCTTTTCGATAAAACAGAAAATAAGAATAAATTATTATATGAATTAAAATTTGAAAATATTGAAGAAATTATTTAACTCCTCGAATCACGTCCGTCCATTAAAGACATGGAATATAAACTAATATCTTATGTTTACAAAAACTTGTACGATATATATAGGACAGCTAGATAACACATTTCATTTCATAGTATTTTTATCTTGTTTTCTTAATTGTAAGTACTCTCAACTCTCACTTTCAACATATAAATAAAATTAAATTTAATAACATCATTTCATTTGGTTCAGTTTTGATATTTAAGTTTCCATATGTTAAATTAAATTTGATACTTGAAAGAACTTACTCTGTTGTACACAAACGTTTTATCACACTATAATATTCTACATTACTAATAAACAAATGAATGTTATTTCCTTCATTATTATTCTATTATTATTATAATTATTCAAAATTTAATACTTGGCCACTCGCGTTTGAAAAAGTTAAAATATTATAATAATAATTAAATTATTTACTTCTTTCTAACATTTTCAGTATGGCAACGGCCTTCGAGTACTAAAAATTAGAAAATTTATTTAAAACTTTCGCATTATCTTCTCATTAGATACTAATTTTCATTAATAAGAGTAGTTTAACCCTCTCCAATTATTTATTATTAATAATTCAGAAATTGAAGGATTCTATTTTTCTATTTTCTTTCAAAACATAAACATCTGCTCAAAACTAAACTATTTTTCCACTGCAAAAACACGTGTCAATTTTTCATCTATCAAAAATAGGGGTTGCAACCCCCAAAAGTCAATGTCACCAGAATTTGTTACACTTTCGATAAGGAATATTACCCACTTGGTTTTACTAAAAAATATTGATTATGAAAAAAGTTATTTAAAAAAACCTGTTTTTGGGGGTGAACTTTGAGGATATATTTTAGCCTTTAAATGTGTTTTTAGAATATTTTTATTATAATAATATTTATAAAGCAGTAAAGATTAAAAAATTCGCTTTAAAATAATATTAATATCGAAAGTTCGAATTTTCATTAATAGGGGTGGCCTTCTAAAAATATTTTTTATTGAAAATGCTGAAACATAAACTTATTTTTTCTATTTTCTTTATAAATATAAAAATTTGGTTATAATTACACTCTTTTAAAAGTTTTTACTGTGCAGAAAATGATGTCAATTTTTGATTTTTCGTGTATTAAAAATAGCTGTTGCAACCCACAAAAGTCAAACACACCAGAGTTTGTTTGACTTTTAATAAAGATTATTACCCATTTTGTCTTACCAAAAAATATTGACTAGAAGAAAAGTTATTTAAAGAAATGTTTTTGGGAGTAAACTTTGAGGGTGGATTCCACCCCTTAAATATGTTTTTCCGCCGATAAAAAAATACCAATCTCTTGCTTTTTTAATGTACTACAATCTATACAAGAATTATCAAAATCGGTGAGTTCGAATTGGGGTACCTTCCTTGTAAGATACTTTTCTAACACAAAGAAAACAATTCATTATTCATTATAGTCTTAATACTACCGATTGTTGTTGGTTTGCTCCCTTCCCTCGAGGTTCGCTCACTTTCTGTCTGTTTCTCTATCTTTGTCTCTCATTGTTATTTGGCTCTCTTTCCCGCTAAAAATAGCGATTAAAGTGCATACTTTTTATAGTGAATATGTTAACAAATTCATATACAAAATTTAAAAAATTTTATTATATTTTTATTACATTACTACAGTATCACTAAAAAATTGTATTAATATTACAATATACTCTTTACTGTTATTTGAGTTTACTTACTTTTACATTATATAATTGTAGATAATTGTGAATAGAACTAGTTACTCACAAGTCGTTATTCGTTTTAATCAAATCAAAAAGCATGGTTACCAGATTTAGTGTAGGAGCCATAATAGAAAACCTTTCGAAAATCTAAACAATGATAGAATACATTATAATGAAACTCATATTTTTCCTCAAAATTTTCACATATTTTTTACATTATTGAAAACAAAAAAGTAGATAGTTGTATTATGATAAAAACTGTTTAATGTAAACGTTTAACACTTCTATTGTTATTCTTATTTCAAATTCTGTACTAAATTACAGAAATAAACTTTTTCACATTTAGGTATCCTACTATAACTTATTCAATTTTGTTTTCTCTGACATCTATAACTAAACTATATATGTATTGATAGCAGCTATAGCAATAATATTATTCATACAATTTATTAAAGGCACTTTAAATTTATTGACTTCATTTTACAAAATTTATTATGGGTATATAGGTATCAAAAAGCTGTGATTATTTCTAACAATAGTTTAGTCAGAATTCCTATACTTCAAATTATTACACTTTTACAGTTTTACTTTATTTTGTACACTGAGAAACACACTGAAAGCAATAACTTATCTAATAATTTATAATAATCCATGTCGCAGAATTTCTTATAAAAATTGTATGAACGAATAATACCAAATGGAGTAATTCTTGGAAGCACTAACATATTATCTATCATAAGTTTTACAAAATCTTTAAAAACAATATCACACTTCAAAGATGATATGAATTGTAGAAAAATACTTGAAAACTTTAGAAGAATACAAATTTGCTTTCATCTTTTAATGTACATGGATTTGTATTTGATATAAGAAAATAAATGAAAAGGTATTATTGTATAATATTAAATATAAAGAAAAAATATTTGAAAACTATGTGCTACTAAGTGAAAACTATTTTTTTAACCATCATTGTGATAATGTTAAATTAATAAATGTTGTTAAAAAAACTTGGTTTTTTTATGCAGATCGCTGTCATGGGTATTTCTATACTTCATTCATTTCAATACTGTTTTCATCATCAGAACATCCATTTTGTCTGTCTTTTGTTTGTTTTTCTCCAGATAGATGTCTTTTCCTATGCACTTTCATATTATCTCGACGATTAAACAATTTACCACATTCTGGACAAGCATGGCTTTTTTCTTCATGAACATGACGATGAGCAGCTAAGTGACTGGCTTGAGCAAATGCAGCACCACATTTCTGACAAATATGCTTACGTACTCCTTGATGTTTTAATAGATGTTCATTTAAAAATGCTTTTGATGCATACTTATTTTTACAAATACTACATGCAAATGGTTTTGGGTTACTGTGTTGTAAAATATGAGCCTTATATTTCGAAGCCACTTTAAAAGTCTTTTGACAAGTTTCACAAATGTATGTTGTTGTATGACGTGTTTTTATATGTTCATTGAGAACTGATAAACTTGAATATAAATTATAGCAAAAACGACATCTAAAGTTTCGCCTATCTTTCATATGAACACTACCAATATGACTCAGAAGCCTTGTGCGATAAGGAAAAACTTTCCCACAATATTCACAAGCTAAATTTTGTGGTGGCATATGTGATTTTACATGCATCTGTAAAGAAACTTTGTGATGGTAACTTTGTTCACAATCAGCACACTGATAAGGCTTGATACCTTTATGGACATTCATGTGCTCTGTTAAATCAAATTTAGATCTGAATCTTTTTGGACACTTAGAGCACGAAATAGGACGGGGATTAGTATGTGAGCAACGTATGTGCTTCATAACATCAGATTTACAAACAAATTTGGCTTGGCATAAAATACAAACATACTGCTTGATACCAAGGTGTGTTTTAACATGAACAGTACATTTATCTTTCCGCTCATAAATTTTCCTACACAATTTACAAGCATAGTTTATTTGATTGTTAATATTAATTTGTTCAACATTTTCATCAACATGAATTTCTTCACCATCCATTTTAAATAATTCTTCTGGATTTCGTGAATTATTACAAAAATCTTCAACATTTTGCAATTTATCAATCAAACTATTATGCTTATCTTTTGAAATATTTGAACTGATAATATTTTTAACAAGATTATTTACCTCTTCATTATTTCTATCTTCAAGGAATGTAATAATAGATTTATCTACTAAACAAGACCCTTGATCAGGAAAAACTTTAGCTACAACTGTTAAAGAATCTGCTTCTTGCTTTTTAGATAATTCGACGGTAAAACTTATATCTTCAGTATCACCTGAGCGGTTCAAAGGCTCTTTGACTGAAACATCAACTCCTGGTGTGTTTGTAATAACAGATAATACTTTATTTAAAGTAATAGTAGGTATTTGAATCTTATTACTATTATCCAGATGTTGATTTTTATTTTTAGGATCCTGACTGATGATTGAATTAATTCTAGAATATGAACTACTATCAATAACAATATTATGATTTCTCAGTCTTTTTTTTTCTGGGAAGGCACTTTTAATGCTTTTAGTATTTGATTCTGTTGCTAATGTATCTGTATTTTGTCTGCTTCTAAGCTTGCGAGTGGACACTATGTTTGGTTGTTGTGAACTGGCTAATTCAATTTCATCATTTACGATTCTTTGAGAATTATGTTTAGAAGCTAACTTTGTTTGATATAACTGTCTACGAAGATTTCTTTGAGTTCTAACAGATTTTACAGATGCTTTAGCTTTATTAGTTTCTTCAAGAGGATTTAAATTTTTATCACTAATGTTATTGTTGTTATAACTGATATTAACATTACTGTTAATTAAAGTATCATTTATATTGACATCAACATCGTTTTCTTTATTTTCAATAACTTTTTCGATTCTAGATGTACTTGGTAATGGATCCTTGCTTTTATTTTCCTCCTAAAGAGAAAGAATTAAATATTTTAAATGTTAGGAACAAAGTAAAGTTAAATTTAGCAATTAATATTAAGACCCACCCTCCCCTTCCATAGATATACAAACCAATGTAAATCAACAGGTCAACTTTGCTTTAAGGTTTAACCGCATATAGTACTTGCAACCTAAAAAAAAATATAGGTTAACAGTTTTTACTGATCAATATACTGTTGATCAATTTTGGATCATCTGGTCTATTAGTTTCTTTAAAAATAAATGTTTAAAAATGTTTCAAAAATAATATATTTTAGATTTGGGGATTTGTTTATAAGACAATGACAAATGAAAGATGATAGTTCAATATTATTCTAAAAAGATCATTTTCAAATATTTATTGTTAAAGAAACTAATAGACAGGATGATTTAAAGTTGATTAACAGCACTTTGACCAGTAAAAACTATTGACCTAGTTTTTATCGGGTTGTGAGCATTACTCGTGGTTAAACATTGGAACAAAGTTGACCCTTCAATTTACACTGATTTATATAACTATGGAAGGGTAAAAAAGATTCTTACAAAAAAATTTAACTTCGTAAATAATAAATTTTATACCTATTAAACTGTATAAAAAATTAATATCGCATTTACTCAATAACACAAATAGTTTTCATAAATGTTAAATATTATTATTAAAAACTAGACTCAATCATTCATCAAATCAAATTTTATTAAAAATTTCAAAAGTAAATAATAATTATATAATTATATTTTAATTGACAGTGAATGCTTTAAGCTTTCATATGAATAAAAAATAATTATCAAAAAAATAGTGATTGTTAGAATATTGAATGGAATAAAGTAGAAACATTGATATAAGGATTAACTTACGATATTTGATAAAGGTTGTACATTATATTGATCATGTAACAATTGCTGGGTACGTAAACACTCTTCTTGAAAATCACAAACAAATTCTAATTTACCCAAACACTGAACACAGATTATTTTGGGTAAGAGATCCTTTTCATTTATCTGTAATTTAAAAAATTTAATATTATATATATTAGAAATTATTTCTCACATATTTGGACTTTGATCTTAAAATATTATTACTTATATATGTTACTGTCAAAGCATATGAGCCAGCATCTTATTTAACAACTACTCATTGTATAAAATGACTGATAATACTAGGTATAAGAGATAAGACGATTTAATTATATAATGAGTTTTTATGGAACAAAGAATAATAATAAAAAGTGTTTAAGAGATTCTGAAATTTAATTATAAAAATGAGGTACATTACAAATGCACATAAATAAATAAATAACAGTACTTTAATTATTTTTGAAATATTACACAATTTTCTAAAAATATATTATATCACTACTGTTATTGGTATCTAAATAAAATTTCTGTTGATTAATTGTATTGTAATGACAAAAATTCCAATTATTTATTACTGCTTGAGGTTGTTATGTTTTATTTGTAGTTAGTATTATACTGGTGAAATAAAGTTGAAGTTAACGTTAAAGTTAATAAAATTGAAGATTAGTTTCCATGAATTTTAGAGCAATTGTAAATAATAATTATTTATCACACATTTATTCTTTAAACCGTCTATTGACATGTCTGAGGATTTTTATCAGAAATATGATCAAATTATAAAACAAGAAAACTTGCAATAATATAGCACAATTATTTGCAATATTTTATTAGCCTAGATGTATATCAATTAGTTTTAAATAAACGATACGTTCTGTTGACTAACTTAATATTAATCCTATTCCATGTTACTAATAAAAAGTATAGAGCTAGTAACATTTAAAAGATACCACAGTAAACATGTTTCATTTATTAATTATTATTTTAGTAGTCACTAAGTAGTCAATTATTTATTAGTCATTAATTATATCATTACATACTTGTCTAACTTTCATTCTATACTTCATTTATTACCTAGAGATTTCATAAAATGTTAATAATAAATCTATAAGAAATTATCTATTTAAGTTTGCATAAAATAATCCTGCAATTCATAAAACAAATAGCTATCATGTAAAATACCTGAATTATATATTTAAGATAGTAACATAAAATCACAAAATAAATTCATCAGATATTTGAAAGAGAAAAATCGGCTATATAATTTTAATCGCTCCATAAGATATAATACATTATTTACAGCAATCTATATATTTTATCTCTGAGAATTTTTGAATTATTTAGTATTTGATAATTTTACTAAAAATGTATAATTTCTTTGTTCTATCTCACAATTATAGTTCAGTTACAATATAAGCATAACTTAGCTATTTAATGTAGAAGTTGAAAAAATAAAAGAAAACAGAATAGTACAATTAGTAATATAAATGTGTGGAGCAATCGGCTTAAAAAATAATCTTTGGATACAGATTAATGCTACAGTCACAACTCGATCAGTTATGGAAAATGGCATACATAAATAGAACAATAAAAATACAGAAATTATAGATCATTTAAGTACTATGTAACATACCAAAATATTGATTTTTGAATGAATTTTGACACCTAAAAAACGTCTAACACCTTCTTCACCAAAAATATCAATGTACATCCTTACACATTGACCACAGAGTCTGCAAACCTGTCCCGCGGAGCCCTCCGGCTCCATTTTTGTTTACCCTGAAGGCTTTCTAAATAGACGCTTAAACTTCTGAAAATGAACGCTGAAAGTTAATATCAGAACGGTGACTTATCAGTGTATATAAATATTTTCTTAATATTAAACATAGATAAACATACTTATTTATTTAAAATAATATTAATCATAAATCATCGAAGTTTACAATTTGTGATGCGCACCCTTTTTCCTTAATGCGACACTGTGAACGCTTGTAATGGATTAATACTCTCGAACTAATTCTTATATATTTTCATTCGACAAAAGATTTAAATGAAAAAATTAATTTTAAGTACTACATTAATATAGCAAAACCTTTTTATTTTATGTTGATGTTCAAACATTAGTGACGATATCAAATAAAACACGAAATAAAGAGTATGGTAAGAAACTTAAAAGAATAAATCTATCATAATAAATTCAATATATATTTATCAGATATAAATAGTTGGTAAATACTTTCAATAAATATTATCTCTCAATATCTCAAAAAGATATTCCTGGAATGCTCCTCATGAAAATAAAATTGCTCTATACATAGATATTATGTTTCAAAAGTTATTAATAATTCTTTATTTCAACAAAAACGATGATAAATTGACTGTTGGTGGTAAAAATATTAAAATATTAGCACGTATGAGTTATAAAAATTATTCGACGTAAAATGCTCCCAAATATGGTCTAATTAGTTTTGTAATTTTTTAAAACACTTAACTAATTCGGTATAAACATTGAAAAACCGAACGGCTCATGAGCTACTTGACAAAGGAGGAAAGAACTTAGTGAGGAATTGACGAAAATCGGTCAGAAAAAATTATAGAAAAACTGCGCATAATTGATAAGGATAGAAAAATTCATTAATAATTCTGCGCAATTTAGTTTTTATTAATAACAAAATTTCAACAGTAAAACATTCCTTAATATGTAGAAATTGAATCTACGTAGCGTTTTTGTACAGTTTTTATAGAAATGAATCTATTGAACCGTTAGCAAAAATCACGCGAAATTTTTTTATCTAATCAAAATATTATAATAATCATCCATTATAAATTAAATATTATTTTTCATTACAGCGATACATGGACCTGAAAAATTCATCGATAACAGAGGTCTAAAAACTTTTATGAGACAATATCCTCTCCAGCAGAATTGCGCTCTTATAATGAGAGTTCTATTAAGAGGAATAGATTATTTTCTTATTATTTTTCTTATTTATTTTATAGAATTAGATTTCTTACCTACAGAAGTCTTGGAGTACTTAAAAGTATTAGTTATTGAAAAATAATCCATCCCTATCAGTACAGTTCTTATACTGGCATTCTTGGAAAGGTATTTCGTATGTTAAAATAGTTATTATTTTACATTGTAGGTCATTTGAAAAGTAACAGTTTTAGATTTTACCTCACATCGTATCTGAGTGCAGGAGCCCAGCACCTAAGACCTTCTTCATTTTTCAAAGAGATTTTTCGGGGACGAACTAACAAATGGTAGTAAAATGTTAGAATAGCTTGCATGTACATATGTTGTACAGTGTGCGCATGCGCGCGTACATATGAGTTCGTACTCTGCTCGGTACTTCTAGTTTGCTCGCTCAATTGTGAGCAACTTTATTAATAAAGAATTGCTTTAAGTGAAAGGCCAGTATTTTGATTTTCTGCCATATCATTGCGCCCATCAGATTATTGATTCAGCACATACTTTCACCGTGCCAGAGCGGAAGATCCGTTATCAACAAGAGTAAGCAAGGAGAAAGAATTTTCGGTACGAGGTGGTGGATCAAAGGCGTTGCGTTTTTCTCGTAAAAGCTTATATGAGTTTCGAATACGATGCGGAAAATAAAAGTAGAGAACGAGTCCATAAATGTTAAATCATTTTGCCCGTTTTAGAGAATAGATATTTGGTATTCGCAAAATAAATGGAAAAAGTGCTGACTTTTCTGTGAGAAATTCAAAACGAAATACAAAAGGAAAATTAAGCCTATGATATTAGAGGACTGTTAATATAAGAGAAATGCGAACACGAATATTAGAACATAATTTGATACACTCGCAAAAGTAAATTAACGCATTATTTATTTTTTTATTTAGTTTATTTTATTAGTTTTTTTATAAATTTTGCAAAGTTTTTTTTCTTTTTTAATATTATTGTTGTAATTTTTTTTGATCCTACGATCTTCGAGGGGTGAGTAGGTTTCCTCACTGTTGGTTGGGTCGAAATCAATATAACTTTTCGTCGAACCCACTCAACATTCTTCACCGTCGGAATATTTCTCTGTAAAAAAAATTTGTAATTATTATTTTTAATTTATATTTATTAATCATTTACTTATTTCTATAATTTAAGTACTTACAGAAGCAGTCAAAGCGAGTGGCATATCGACTTCTTCTCTTTGACAGCATGTGGATGTTGCTGTAGATGATGACGATGACGTTGCTGTTGATGACGATGACGTCGCTGGTGATGTTGACCTTGATGTTGCTGATGGTGACAACGATGACGATAATGTTAACGACGCTGATGATGATATTGACATCATCGAAGATAGTTCATTATCCTGATTCACCATGATGGAGGTTGTTGATGGTTCAGCTCTCTCATTTATGCAGGAAAGCCTTTGCTTAACTTTCGCAGCAAGTTGGTCTTGCTCTGCTTTGGCTAAGTCCACTTTCCGTTTCCTCTCCAATCGAGCGGATTCTTGATGCCTACTCATCGCGTCCGCACGTTTACGCTGCTGTAACTTCGCTTTCACGCGATCATTGACAATCTTGTCAATTTCATACGCGACTTGTTGCGTCATCATTCTGGCTGCAATGGATTCCTTGATCCACTGAAAAAAGAGAAAAGACAATCAAATATTAATAAAAATATAAATTGATATAATTTTATAAAAATCAATAATAATACTTACTTGTTGAATAATCGCCTTTATTTGTTGAATTTGTAGAACTTGAGGACTGTTCTCGTCTACAAATCTTTGTAACTGAAAAATAAATGATAATAAATAAACACACGCACACACACACACACACACATATTGCAACGATTGCCGAAAATCGTTTAGACTCGCGTGGGTTACTCAGCGGCTGAGCGTAACAGCCGTAATCGGTTTGAGAGTGAGAGAGAGGGCGCCTTGGGGGAAATTACCGGGAGGGGAGAGTTAGCTAGCCAGTATGACTGTGACCTTCAGTCCGGCTACATCATAGCTATTGAGTTTGAGCTACCAACGTGCTTGATAGTTTCGAGTGAGATCCAGGGAGTTTTGGTACTTTGTTCGAGAGTGTTGAGGTGGAGGTGCACATCGCACGTCGTGTGCATAAACAACTGACGACAACAATCAGTGTGGTGGGACGGGTGTACACACTGTACAACGTGTGTGACACCGTCGCCGATAACGATAACTGTGAGCGGAGTGCCGAGTGCGCGCATTGTTGAACGTCTGCGACCTCGGCCCCAGCGTACTCAACCTCTGCAACTCCTGCAGCCACGCAACAGCAACAGCGGAGCAACGGACGCAGAGGCAACTCATCGACAACAAGTTTAGATGGGTACGGTTGGCCACCGTATCCCCATCAATTCCGCGGTAGGTGTCCAGCCCTATTTATTGTAATTAGCGTGCGATCCCGCGCAGCGTATGCGGTGATATTATTAAAAGCGTGCGAGCGAATAGTCCGCGACGATCGCGAGATTCACTCTCTCTCTCCCCGTTTGTATCGTCATTCGAAATTGCGTGCGAAAGTCTCTCGGCAAATCCCTCTCTTATACAAGTTTTAAGTAAATAAAGTGATCAGAGATTTACACGCAACGATCTCATTGTTTTATCTTCCCTTTGTCCGAAAGCGGTGTTATTGTTTACGTTCGATTCTAACGCGCCGGTAGTTCAGCACGAATCACGTAAGCAACATACGAAGCTGCTCGCCAACCGAGTTGTCAGCAGTGGCCGACGGAGCGCTGTTAAGCGAGCGCGCCAGCGCCCCTAGCGGAGAGATCGAGAATCCAATTTAGAACGGTAAGAGAACTCGGCGCAGGCGCAGACCGGGACAAGGTAAGTTAATGTGCTTACAACACATAGATAACACGGCGTCGTTAGACCATACGAATAATCATATTCGATAGGGATTAGAGGTTAAACGGCAGCCTGTTACATGGCGCCCAACAAATTTTAGGACTCGCACAAGGGGAGTCGATTTGCACGGAAAGAGAGAGCGACGCACGAGAGAGAGAGAGACGTTTGAGCGCGTGCGTATTAAGGTGCGAGCGGGTTAAAGAACACGTGGCTCGTTCGGCACGTGCTCTGCAGTGGGGAAAAGACGTCTCTCCGACCTAATAACGACTGCTTTTGTAAGCCGAGAGCATACTAACATTGGGGGTCGAAGAGACGTCCTGAGTCGCTCTAAAGAAAATAAAAGAGGTGACAAATTGTTTTTTTTCTCTCGAGTGGTTATCCACACCTTAGAGGATTATCAGGTGGGGGGAAGTCACAGCGCGATAATAAGGGCAGAGCACGCAATTTGGGTATGTGCGGGATTAGTTTTACTAACCCGGTGGGGCTAGCAAACAGTTAGTCCCCACCTATAGGTAGGTAGTTGCGAGCGGAAGTTTTCGCTTCCTTCGGGTACGCGGCACCTGCACACACCCACGAGCCTCGTGGGTTGTTGCCTTGTAATTTAAGGCGTAGTAGTACAGTTGCCTATAAAAGTCGCAACACCCCGCTCGTGCCTTGGGCGATAGGAGGCGGTAGTGGTCGAATAGGCAAATTAACCTCGACCGTCACCTACGCCCGAGTATAGGCGGTATGGAGGACACCGCCAAGGCGATAACCCGATGGGCATCGGAACTGCCTTCGACACAGCTTGATAGGTATCTGACGCAGCTGGAGTTGCGTACAGAAGGGCCCAAGCTGATGCAAGCGGTCCGACTGGCATATTGGCTATTGGGCGAGTATATCGACCTGGATTTCCAAGGAACAGCGTTGGATAAAGATGCGGTACAACGCAGACGACGAAGCCGAGAGAGATGGCTCGAGACCAGGCGACAAGAGCTAGAGGAAGCTGAGGCCGAGGATCTCGTCGCCCACCCACTCATGCTGCTATACAGCGATGAGGCAGTGGAGGCGAACCTGACGCGGACTCTCGCGGTCTTCGACAACCTCGACGAGGACAGTCGGAGCGATGTCGGGGAACGAGAGTCCGTCAAGGAGTCTGGGACCGGGGTAGCCAGTGGGCCCCCGGAAGGGGTTAGCAGGGGACGTGAGGGTTCCACCGGATCGCCGGTTAGGCGAAGAGCTCGTCGTTTTGAAAACGAAGAGCTGCATCCACAAGAAGACGAGGAGGAACGGTGCGTGACCGAGCGATTGAAAGAAGAAATCGAGCGCAACCGTG